TATCGCTCGCGCGTAATTATGTTGCTGTCGCGCTCGCACACTTACTGCGGGCGCCCGTCGCACAGTCGCGACAGCAATATAATTACGCGCGAGCGATAAGGATGGGTAGCTTGGGGTCATTGGACAAAATTCTACGTGCTCACGGACCAGGCTTTATTCTATTCTTAACTTGTTTTTTTCTACGCAGGCGCGGACATGTCGCGTTGGCGCGGCTTCGATGGCGCCGGCTGAGCGCGCGCCGAGGCTAGGCGCCGATGCGCGCCTGGCTCGTCGTGTGTGCGGCGCTCGCGCTCGCGCCGTGCCGAGCGACCGCTGCGCACCCGCGGGCGGACCCCGCGCGCCTAGAGCGCATCAAGTCACACATATTAGCCAAAGTAAGTCGCACGTATTAGCCAAAGTAAGTCGCGCGTATTAGCCAAAGTAAGTCAGGCATATTAGCCAAAGTAAGTCGGGCATATTAGCCAAAGTAAGTCACACATCATCATTTCAGCCATAGAGCAGGGTACTCATCTAGCCGTGTAGCATGTAATGTACCTATCAGATACTGTATCAAGTGAGTACATAGGCACGAGCCCGCTGCGAGCAGCTCGCGCGTGGTTCGCAGGGAGATCATAGCGACCCGCCGAGTGGCGGTATCACTGCGAGCACAAAGGCGGCTCGCAGTAGGATCCAGGAGCTCGCAGCCAGATACGCGATGACCGTGGACGAGCCGTACTCACTTGAAGGTTGGTTACGTTACATGCTACGTTACGTGCTACATGGCAGGTGAGTACCCTGCCTAGGGCGTCCACTGCTGAACGTAGCGGCGCTTCCCTGCTACCTTTATGACGTGGTCGGTCCAGCTTTTGGGTGGACGTCCCAAGCTGCGTTTTTCGGTACGCGGATTCCACTCCAGAACCTTGCTGCCTCATCGGCCGTCAGTTCTGCGTACTATGTGCACAGCCCATTGCCACTTCAGCTTGCTAATCCGTCGGGCTATGTTAGCGACTTTAGTTCGTTTACGGATCACACATATTCAGTAGCTAAAGTAAGTGGTAGCAGAGCTGCTACAGGTGACCGTGCCGAGCGACCGCTGCGCACCCGCGGGCGGACCCCGCGCGCCTCGAGCGCATCAAGTCACACATATTAGCCAAAGTAAGTCGCGCATGTTAGCCAAAGTAAGTCACGCATGTTAGCCAAAGTAAGTCAGGCATATTAGCCAAAGTAAGTCACACAAATTAGCCAAAGTAAGTCAGGCATATTAGCCAAAGACGCCCATATTAGCCAAAGTAGGTCACAGCAGAGCTGCTACAGGTGAACGTGCCGAGCGACCGCTGCGCACCCGCGGGCGGACCCCGCGCGCCTCGAGCGCATCAAGTCACACATATTAGCCAAAGTAAGTCGCACTAATTAGCCAAAGTGAGTCACACATATTAGCCAAAGTAAGTCGCGCGTATTAGCCAAAGTAAGTCGCGCGTATTAGCCAAAGTAAGTCACCGCAGAGCTGCTACAGTCGACCATGCTGTGCGACAGCTGCGATACAAGTCACACATATTTAGTAGCCAAGCAGAGATACTACAGTCGACTATGCCGAGCGACCGCAGCAGGCAGACCCCGCGCGCCTCGAAAGTCACACATATTAGCCAAAGTAAGTCACACAAGTGGTCGCTTACTATGGGCCTCATAAGAAGGCTCAAGGTCACCCAAAGAGCGATGAAGCGTGCTATGCTCGGAGTTTCCCTGCGTGATCGAATCAGAAATGAGGAGATCCGTAGGAGAACCAGAGTGACTGACATAGCCCGCAGAATCGCTAAAATCAAGTGGCAGTGGGCGGGGCACATAGCTCGAAGAGCTGATGGCCGCTGGGGCAGGAAAGTTCTTGAGTGGCGACCACGAGCCGGAAGACGTAGCGTGGGCAGGTCTCCCTTTAGGTGGACCGACGATCTGGTGAAGGTCGCGGGAGGTGCCTGGATGCGAGCGGCGCAAGACCGGTCTTTGTGGAAATCCTTGGGGGAGGCCTTTGTCCAGCAGTGGACGTCTTTCGGCTGAAACGAACGAACGAAGTCACACATATTATAGCCAAAGTAAGTCACACTGTCACACATATTCAGTAGCTACAGGTGACCGTGCCGAGCGACCGCTGCGCACCCGCGAGCGGACCCCGCGTGCCTCGAGCGCATCAAGACACATATTAGCCAAAGTAAGTCGCGCATGTTAGCCAAAGTAAGTCAGGCATATTAGCCAAAGTAAGTCGCGGACTTTTACAGCTGCTACAGTTGGCCGAGCTGAGCGAACTCGGGTATACCCCGCGCGCCTCGAGCACACAATATTAGCCAAAGTAAGTCGCGCATATTAGCCAAAGTAAATCAGGCATATTAGCCAAAGTAAGTCAGGCATATTAGCCAAAGTCGCCCATATTAGCCAAAGTAGGTCACAGCAGAGCTGCTACAGGTGACCGTGCCGAGCGACCGCTGCGCACCCGCGGGCGGACCCCGCGCGCCTCGAGCGCATCAAGTCACACATATTAGCCAAAGTAAGTCACACATATTAGCCAAAGTACGTCACACTATCACACATATTCAGTAGCTACAGGTATTAAAAAAAAGTTACTTGTTGATCAATTACTTATTTATTCAGGATNTCGAGAAATATCACGTAATTTTTTTTTCACAACAAACAGAGTAAATCCTCCGTCTGCATTCGTGAACACAGGCCCAGTTTTTAGATCCGCAGTTTGCTACCAATGCTTAAATATTAACTAAATGTAAACTAATAGTTAAAAATTGTACTAAAAGTAAAAAAACTGGTCCTAAATTGTTTGGTTTTATCATTTCAGTTATTATTTTTTTTATACAATCTAATATTTTCGAAGCATGGATTAATCTCATTTACATTGCAAATGCAAATAAGCATTTTGGAAAATCTCACGTGAGATTAGGGGGTGGGGGAGGGGGTCAGGCAAAATCTCATGAAATCTCACCAAGGGGGGCGGGGGCGTTAAAAATAGCCAAAATTGTCTCACGTAATTAATGGACGCACCTTTACTTGATATGTTTTCCTCTTATTATGAACCTCGAGTTTTTTAAATGTGCCTATTTAAAAGCAGCCTAACAAACTTGAAGCCTAAAACTTGTAACGGAAGCATTTATTTAATACACGATTTTTTAATGAAAATCCGTTTTTAAATTTTTTTATGACTAAAATATTAAATATTTTTCAACTATCGACATCCCGCTCTAAGCTGGGTAAATTCAGAGCTAAACTTAATGACTACGAAAAGTTCTATCTGCTCGTAATTTCAGGAAAATTAAATTTTATTTTAATCGAAAATGGGCATTTAATTTACTATCTACGATCACATTAAAAAACGAGTCCACGCGTGCAAAGCCGCAGGCAACAGATATTGCGATTATAAGTCTCCCATAATCATGTTCGTCACTCGAACGTGCAGTGAACCGCACTCACGCGCACGCACTCCGCGGAAATCGGCGCAGATGCATCTCAAACGATCTAAAATGATAAACTTTGAGATGCACACATTCTTTGAATAATTGCCAGGTTTTATGAGACGCATCAATTTTTAAATAAACAGATGACAGCACATCAGACTACATTTTCATGGTAAATCGGCTCTATTTTAAGGACATAAGAAACCACCGTGTTTAGGTTGGCGTGCTGTCTCCCGTAGGTACATATTATATCTATGCCAGTTAAAAACTACTTAAAAAGCATGGAGTTTTTTACTCGACTCTTCCCGCTCTGATGCTATCACAGTCATATCAAGCACGGGGGACATTTTCCAGGGATACTTGCTTTACCGGATTCGTATTTCGATACAGGGGATACAGACAGACTCTGGTTTCACCCTATATTTTGCCAAAAAGTAAAATTTATTCATCTAGATTTGAGAATAATAATGTAAATGTGTTTCAAATGATGAAGAACTTTCAAATATAGCAGCGGTTTTGAAGAAATTATACATTAAGCCAGGACATAAAAGGACTAAGGACATAAAAGATAAGGCAAAAAAGACATTTGAAATTTGGTAGTCATTCCAGCTCTAAATGTCTTTATTTTAAATCCAGAGTTTTTATAGAGTGGAAAACACTTCATTTAGAAGTATCAATTCCATTTAAACCAGTAAAAGTTAATCAAGATTAAGCAACAAATATACAATGTTAAACCCACCTGACGACTTAACTCGATCCTCAAAGCTTAAATGCAAATAAAACCGTAAAAGCAACATTAAAAGTCCGAAGTCAAAAGCTATTTCGCTGTAAAACACGTAGCAAATCGCAAATATATAAAATTTCAGAATATAAACAGTGTAAATGCCTAATTGATTGTTATAGCAGAATCTAAACACACCCATACAAAAACCGCGAGTGTAAATAAATTCAACTGTCTATTGACAAACAGCATCATTGTCGTATGCATAGTAAAATTCTTAAATGCATTTCTATCAAATGCCACGACTCAGCTATGAAATTTTATATGGTAATGCCCCATAAACTGGTAAGTAATACGAACTTAATAACTTAGGGCATTATCTCCCAGTTGCTAAGCAGAAAATTAATGGGACGGTGCTCTAAAATGCAACAGTAGAAAGAAAATCATCTCTCCATCTCCAACTCAGAGATGCAGGCCAAGAGCTTCATCGTATTGTGGATTTTTTACGTTCACAGGTTATTTTTAATGCACGGGTACCTAACTACATACGCAAGCTTATCCATATCATGTCCATATCAAATAAAAATACGAGTAGAGATAACAATGTCAAACTAAAAGAGAATTTCAGGAAGACAAATTGAAAAAATGTTTACGTTTACGAATTGATATTTTTAATGAGAATTTGCTAGGGCTTTAATCTCTTCAGGGAGCGAATCCCAAAGCCGTAGACGGAATTAATTTTAGATGGGATGAGATTTATTCTAAAAACAAAAGTGTAAGCTTCGGAGATGCGCGTACGACCACATGCGGGGTCTGTCAACGCGGCCGCTATATAAGCCCGCGGTTATCAGCGCCACTCCAATACATAGCTGGCAGTCGCGGCGGTCGCACTATAACAGTAGACGAACTTGGAACTTTTTTTAATTTTGTGTGTGTGGTTGCGACCTCATTTCAAGCTTTGACAAAGGACCTGAATTTCATGTGAGTATAAAAAATTAAGTTATATATCAATTTAATAAGAATCAAATTAATATTTTATTATACCGTAAAAGTCATCAATTCATTTGAATGTTTTAAGAATACATATTTAATTCAATGTAAAATATCATAAAATTTAACAGTAATAAATTATTCCTAAGTAGGATTAAAGTTTTCATCTTGACACAAAATTATGCAAAGATTAGGACCGATGCACATTAGTAAAGATTAAAAGCTTTGATAGTGTTATTGTTGTTTGAATAAAGCTGAAAGCACATTGCGATTAAAAAGCTTAAAATTTAAGTTTAAAGCAGTATCGTTCCAATTTTACTTTTACCAATAAAGCCAAAATTATATCTGTTATCTTATTTTTGAGATGCAAAACCTGTGACTTACTAGTTAGAAGTTAAACTGTAATTCCTCGTTGTGGAAAAAAGAACTTTCAAGTGGGTACATAAAAATAATATTCTAAGAGATATGACCATAAGAGAGGAATACTGGTACGTTATAAATAGAAAAAACTAACTGTAACTACATTATAGCAAAATGGAGAGACGACAATATAATTGACTGTCGGGGAGCTGACGGACGGTCAGCGGAGATGAGTAATTTGCTTGCACTTGCGCCTGCGCACTGAATACGATGCGTTTACAAATAAACTGTTTATAAACACACAGACATTCAAATATCTAACTCTCTAAACAACAATAGCCAAATTACTGACTACATTGTGTTTGAAATTAAATATTTAATAAGGAAAACGCAATAATTATTGTATGATCGATTGGTGCGTGCAAAAATATTTGTTAGAAACCAGTTTTACATGACTGAAATATCTGAAAAAGATGATAATGAGATTTTAATAAAGCCTTTGTATTTCATACACTAATTTCAATTTATTTGATGTGCTAAAGTTGAAATAGGTCGTATTTTCAAATTTATTTTCGATAACTATCTCAGTGACCTTAGTGAACAAAAGATATGACCACCTTGATCTTCAAATGCTAGAATTACTATAACTTATACATTCGGTAAAAGTTATAGTATGTAGCTAGCTAAACATTAAATGGGAGGAGTTTTTGACCTTCATGTTCTTGGCGGGATGTTTATTTTTACAAGACAATAGCGTGGAATCGGGCAATTGGTTTCTAGGAAAATTTGCAAAGTTAGTGAATGGCCGCCGAGACTAATCCACGGTAAATCGATTCCATGGCGTGAACGCGGCTCTTTTATACAATATATTTAAATACATGATACAACGAAAAAAATATAAGTCCCATTGCCGGACCAATTCTGAAGTTATGTTCTCAAGATCAAAATATAAATGGCGTACATTTAGAAATGTTTGCGAAGTTAAACCTTGTCACAGTTTTTGCAGTAATACCTAAGATACTGGTAATGTCTTTTAAAGAATCATTTTTCATCTTAAATGTTAATTTCAAGTCCTTTCACAAGTTTAAATTATCAGTGATGAAATGACTGAAAACTGAACTTAAAAACTGTCAAGAGACGTATTTTACCAGGTAGAGTAAAAAATTGGCTAAACAAAAGAAATACTACTCTGGATTAAACATAAATGTTGTAGAAGAAAGAACTAGAAGAAAGATGTTGTTCAATCGAATCAATAAAGAAAGAAAGATCGTGCATAACAATGAAGATTGGTGTAAGTGATGCAAATCCATTTAGCAAAATCTGAGAGTAATGAAATTAGTGATTAACTGATTAGACATAGAGGCAACTAATGACCCCGCCGAATGATTGGAACGAAACAAAACTGATAAAAAACCAACACACAGCAACACACAAAACGAACACCTAAACGGAGAAAAACAAATTAAAAATACATAAATAAAACAATAAAATAACAATGTGTGTTTTCCCATTTGGCACAAATGCAAATTATGATCTCTAAAAGGATATAACAAACCGAAAATTTCCAAGCACTTATTATCACGGTCGTCCTAATAAAGTGATAATAAAAGTATTGTTATACCGTGAACTTGAACTTTATGTTTGTTTACTGCCTTCAGGCTGTATGCCATAAATCAAGTATTCATTTGAATGAAAAATTTCCCATATCGGTAGTAGTAATAGCCAATGCTTTCCCAAGCTGCGATATCATGCAACCTATGTTCTATTAGGCTGTACTTAATTCTGACGTACGGTGCCCATTCTTTCTTAACCTGGTCCCTTAATACAAAGTCATAGTCACTGAACCTCACCAAAATATCAAAACAATGGCCCATTAAATGTTTTGGGACCACCACAAGTACCAGCACTGTACCACCGTCATGCATTGCGAATTCCTGTCAGGGGCCAGTTCTGACGCATGAGCATCATCATTTACGCAGTACATTTCCGTAGCACGTGACAGAATACAAAATCATGGGCCTCTGTCATGGGAAATGGCAATGTTGCAATAGTAAACTTACTCGTAAGTTGTTATTTCTATCACCTATTGTTTTACATAACGGCCTGGCTAGTTAAGTCCGGAGACTTATGATTTGGACGAACTATAGATTGAGCCTGAACAAGAACTGTCGTACGTTGAATATATTCTGGATAAAGTTCAAAAATTTAGTTTCCAGTCCGGAATTATGTAGCGTAAAAAAAGCATCCGATTATAAACTAGTTTCCGGAATTTTCTCCAGTTTTCTACTTGACTGGTTGACTGCTCTGCAAAACTCAGTTTAAAAGGCGCAGTTCAACAAGGAACGCCACTCAAGGAGATCTGCCGCGTCAATTATCTAACATAATGATAACGATTTCCACGGATCATGGATATTTAGTACTAACAATAGCCAAAGACGCGAGAACAATTATTTTGGACTCGGCAAGGTCACGACCAAACTCAGCTTTGCACAGATTTAACTACTGAAATGATACATCTTGCCGGAAGCTTCAACTGGCTTGGAATTCTACTGTGAGAAACATAAAATACATAAATCTCCCATTTGTATTGTGTACGTTTTTAAGGAAAACTTCGTCTAAATAAGTAACTTTATGTATATTTTTTTACAAGGTTGTCACAAATGAGTAAGGTGAACAAGTTTAAATTATAGTAACTATTCTGTTCAAGCTGCACCATTGGATATTAATAATTGAGGTATTTTTAGAAACCTGCATCAATACTTGTTTGTGCTATAAATATTCGAGAAAAGTCTACGATATTATGTGAAATTTATCGGAGCTTGCTAATAAAACTACAAGGAGAGCTTACGTTTCTTGCGACGCTTATCATAAATTCTCTTCTATTTGTTTTCTTATTTGCATCTTCGATAGCAAATACTAGCATCTACCGACTGACTTTGACCAGATAGCCTTTCAGGTTATTGCACATCCCCTTCAAGGTGAAGGCGGTCAAGCCGCGTAACACCCACCCTGCCCGCATTATGTAACGTAAAGTTCAGTTGGTCAACTACCACGGAGATGCAATCCTGCCCCGACTTATATAAACATGAAGATCACTGATGAACTGCATTATGTAAATATAATCGTTCATTTCATATTATCTTGACACACTATTCTTTGAAGATTTGTAATAAGAGCGCATCAAATGTTTAACTTTTGGCCTCTACCTATGTTCTTAGGTTCAAATTCTATTCTGCGATATCGAAGAACCTTACTCCAAAGCGTTCTTTAGTCTACTCTATCATCCATCATCGAAAGCTTTAACATGCCTTTTGCGGGCCCTAAAAGCTCACGTCTAGCTCATAATTCACTATGAAAGGAGGCACCTCTCCAATAAATCACCGCTGTTCATACTCGCAGTGAGTGTTAGTGATTTGTTGACATTTCTACACCGGAGTGCCGTTAGCGGTCGCTCTTCCGGCACTGACCCGGGCGGCCACTCGAAAGGCTGTGAAGCTTCCTATTACTTATGCTAGCCTGGTACTTGCATCTATTTTAAACTAAGAAAAGTTTCATATTCGTGCTTATTTTCAGTAGGCTGAAACTATGTAGATCCGAATACATTTTCCAGAATTTTAACTAAGTATCTAATTAGAAAGTAAGAAAGATTTTTTAATCAATCACAAATACAGATGTTTGTGTGTGTGAACTTGTTTTTAATTTTGAACCAAAATGGCAACCACTCAGCATGGTCATGCTCTAGGGTAGAATCTAGAACATTACTCCTTATAGTATCATCGCAGTCGATGTAGCAAATTTAACACTAATTCGCAGTAATTACCGAACTTTAATTAGGATTAATCACTTCCCTTGATGTTTCATTGTTCGTGCCGGTAAAAAACTTTTGATCGTCGATCGTAAATAATTTACATTACGCCAAAAATACATTTTGGCGATTCATTCATTAAAAAATAAGACGGTGACGCGTTTCGTAGCACCTGTGTATTTATTACGGGCTCCAGCTAAATTATGGTAGTAATAATATAATGTACCTAGTAAATTAAATTTTCATCAGTAATTTCGATACCCACCTACTCAAAAGGGTAAGTCCCATCATTCATGTGGATAACTTAGTACTAACACGTACTAACCTCGGACATTTTCATAACCACGATGCAATATATTTCTAGTCATTAGACTTAATGCATGTATGAGGAAAAATTACTTTTAGATCAATTACTTATTTATTCAAGATACTAATTTATACATTTCCAACATTATAACACCTTAAAGTTAGTACTTCTTGCTTTGAATGCTCCAATCGAACTGCCTGTCCGGCGGCATGCCCGCGATAAGGCAACTTCCCCTTCCATTCGTCAAAGTCAACCGGCTCGAAACGACTTATCGACAGCATGCCCCGGAAGTAGTCAAAATCAATACTTAAATAACAATTTATTTCTAAATTACTAAACTGTATACAATAAAAATTCTAAAATNTTTTGCATTTTAAAAATGTTTTTATGCATTAAATCGCGCAGCCGTCTAACTTACCTTTTCCCGAGATCCTCTCGCGCCAATCCTGAAAACTTACCTGTAGAACCAGCTCCAGCTCCTCCAACTCCCGAACCAGCCATTCCCTTGAAGATCATTAA